GAAATTTCGGCTACTATGGGCTTTGCCGAATTTTGCATTCTATTAGGCTTAGTCCAGAGATTCTTAACTCAGTCCAATTATATTTCATTTCATGTGGGCTTATTACTACTAAATGACAACACTCATAATATGCAATTTAATAATATTTTTATTTAGCGTCGGGATTGATTCCTAAATTTTTTATACAATTAATGGGGCCACCAAATGTTGACGGCTTGAACTAGAACTCCAATAAAGATGTCGAGTTTCTATCGTGCATCTCCGACAATAACACGTCATTTCTCTTCAACTTCTTCTAAAAGTCGATGACGCGTGTGCCGTAGTAGGCCAAGAGAGCTTTTACCGCATAAAGGAAAGAGAGACGGACATTTCCTCGTGGCAGTGAGAGAGAGAGGACAATTAATGATCCATAGGACAAGATGCTGTCGAATCAAAGACGCAATGTGCGTTCAAGGAATCTTATCGTCTGCTTGGCTGAGGTTTTCTTGCACAACTGCATGCACGACATAAACCCCACAACACGCTAAATCAGTGTCGTGCCTCTCGTTGTGGCCGAGCAGTCTGGGAGTGGCAGCCACATCCACGACTACGCGTATCTGACTATTTTAGCTTTCTGCTTTAAAGAGAAGTTCGATTTCGACTTGGATTTCAGATGATCCAGGGCACATCGATCCCATCCAAGAACAGCATGCGTCGTGTTTCACACTTCCCTCCGTCTTTTTTCATCAGGTCGTCGCGCTAGAGAAGTAACCAGCTGATGTTTCACTTTTGTTTCGAAAATGTGTTTGATATATCGAATGATAGAAGGGATAGCAATCCGTCAAATCATAACATCGGTCGGCTTTCCTTCATCTTTTCATCAGATCATCACGCTAGACACAAATAATTTTGGAAAATCATTTGATGTGATGATTCCTATTTTTATTATTAAGTAAAAAACAACAAAAAAAGTCAAATTATACCCATTATGATATATTTATCTTTAATATTTTTTTGTAATATAAAATCATAAACTATGCCCATTGTGACACATTTACTCTAAACTTTTTCTTGTGACATAAAAAATCTTAAACTTGTACGTATATAACACATTTATCCTATGTCAATATTCTGTCAGATGATTTTTCGATTAAAATAGGGTCGTTTATGTCAACACCATTTGCTTTCCGGCATCTATGTATGCATATTTTTAATGGTGCTTATTGATGGAACATTGGCAGAGGATAAATGTGTCACACAGACATAAGTTTGAGATTTTCGGTGTCGCAGAAAAAAGTTTAAGGTGAATGTGTCACTGTTGGCATAATTTGGAGTTTTTGTGTGGCTTTTCCCTTATTATTATTATTATTATTATTATTATTATTATTATTATTATTATTATTATGTCATTGTTCTTGTTTATCACTGGAAAACCCTATTTTGAGTCGATAAAATCCCGAACTCATTGACAACCTTACAAATTGATTTTCATGCATTGTTTCGTACTTTATAAGTTTACTTCATAATTTAGTTTTCATAAAATATATAAATTGATTTCGCAATGATCGATAGCTCCAAAAAGAAAATTTTCTTTTCTTCAAACAATACCCTTTGTAAATTATTAAGCACCGTCAGCTCATTTTTGTTTTCTTTTTCAATGAGTTCGCCATAGGAGACCAACAACTACTACCAGAATAGTAGGGAAAATTACCAAAAAATAACTAAACCTATTGCACATGTGTGGATTTATTCCTAAATCTTTTAATTTGGACAATTAAATCATTAACATTTTAAAAATTTGCCAATGTAGTCTATCGGGTTAATTTTAGCCGGAAGTTGTTGACGTAGACGCTAGCCGTCCTACATGATATGGCAGGCACTAAAGTGGACACTATTTGCAAATTTTTTATTATTATCTTTTATATATATATTTGCATTCTTTCTCTACCGGCGATGGCCAACGATCGGTGAGGGTTGCCCTTGCCGGCCTCAAGCAAGGTCACCCCTGTCGGGATCTGGCAAGGGGCAACGTCGCCGGCCTTGGGTGAGGTTGAGCCTCGCCATAGCTCGCTTCACCAAAGTAGCTTTGGTGGCGACGCCCAACATCCTAAATATGTATAAAAGAACAGTTTATTTAAATGCCCATTTTAATTCATAATATAATTCTAATCTATTCAATACACCTAGCCTTGGTCGTGGCTCTCGTTATGTATAATTTTTTATTTATTTAGTTTACCTATTCAAAGACTTTCGGTCTGCTTCCAAGCATAGAAGCCGATCGTTAGCCGACAAATCCCACGTTAAACCTCACTAAGAAAGAGATGGACTGACACACACCATCCTATTCTGTCTGCTCCTTAAGAAGCCTAGTTTTGTACGACTGGCTCTGTTTTTTACTCTCTAATTTCTACATGTTTTGTTAAACGCTTGATGGTTGTTCATAATTATAAGTCCAAACATGTGGGCCGCGCGTAAGTGATAGGCAACTTGATAGATGCACGACATGAGACTGGACGATAAGTAATACTTTGACCTTTGTCTTAGCATCCATATATCGTGGAAGTCTACGTTAGAGTCTTTTCTTATTGATTAACAAATGTGAGCACCACCTGAACGAGTGAAGCTGACGAAAGAATGCATGGGAATTCTAGGTTTAGATTTTTCTTTTTATCTGAATCCTAGGTTTAGTATAATTAAACGTTTCTTAATTGAAAACAATGTTTGGGCATGGCTAATTAATATAAACAAAACTAAACGGCCTCTGAGTCACTAGTATTAAAGAATTTGATGTGGCAGATGCCCTAATCAATTCATAGAGTCTTCTACTTATTGTAACCTGGAGGCCACACCTGCCATTCTATAGATAGAGCCTTATCTAGTGTACGTGGACCGGGTAATTTGCTGGCATCCATAGAGATTAGATAATTTAAATAAGTTCGGATATCACGTGTCATAGATATAAGTCACTCGTACAATGGCACACACCACCAGATATGAGAGAGAGAGAGAGAGAGAGAGAGAGAGAGAGAGAGAGTTTTGAAGTGATTGCCATAAAAAACTGATTGCCATCAAATAAAAGAAGTTCATAATTTGAAAGGTTTTAAATAAAGGTACTTAAGGGAGCCCACAAATGTGTGAATAGGGGAATCTAATTATATAGATTCGATATCTACCTTTTCACATATCTTTGTGTATTATATGAAAAGGGGAACCCACAAATGTGTGAAAACAGATGTGGAAAATTGAAATCAATGCCTCTGACTCCACTTTGAGATTCTCTCGACTACTATTTTGCTTCTAGTCTTAGTCCCTTCTTTAGGGTGCCGTACATTTGCGTGCCTAAAGTCGAGTACATTAATACTAAAAAAAAGGTTGAGTACATAACTATTTGTGCTTCAATACCTTAAACGTTCAAGATAACTCAAGTTATTCGTTATATATTTTAAACAAATAAGCATGCAAATGTACGGCACCCTAAAGAAGGGACTAATACTAGAAGCAAAACAGAAGTCGAGAGAATCTCAAAGTGAAGCATAGAACAAGCAAATATAATTATTGAATGAGGTTTCATTATTCAGAATTGAATTGTACTTAATATGATTAGTATCGTAGGGAAAACCTTAACCTTACAAAGATAGTTGAAAATTTGATTCTTCTTTTTGGGACACTCTCAAGTCTTCCAATTATGAAATTTCTTATCATGTGAATGCAGACCTTGACTTGGTAGACATTGGCCCTTCAAGGCCTTTGCCAACGACTAGCTTCATTTCTAAGTGGCCTTTTCACGGGTCCATAAACATCCTCTTTACTGGCCTCTAACAAGTGGCCAAAACTTGCAATAGAAGAATCATTAACAAAAAAATTCACAAAAAATCGACAGGACAGGTTGATTGGCGAGGATTTAATTTGAATATATTTGAAGCAGCACACATTTTCAAATTCATCGAACAACTTGCAAAAAATTCTCATATTTAGATCACTTAAGAAGGTTTTAGCTCGTATTCTTATTTGATCCATATAATTTTTGTGGGATATCTCATGACCTCATAAACCCTCGGTTAATGCGAGTAAGATGAAATACCCCGTCAACAAATGAAGGATAATGCGTGTTATGCATCCGTTTTATCATCGATCATTGAATGGTGAAAAACATGCGCTCACATTATCTTAAAATTCAAAAGCGAAGTGATTTCCCTTCATCACTTTTATCCTAAAGTGATTATAGCTTTGCTCGCTTATGTTTGATAAGAAAAAAAAGGAAAGGGGGGGTTGGGGGAGGCGACTAAACCTAGCATTCCTTTCTAGGTTTTACTATAAGGGTCACACTCTCGTTATGGAATATTCAATTTGAGTCATAATTGCTTTATACCACCCGTGATATCAAGATCCGAGATTGGCGAACCCATCACAATAGCCCCATCAAGACACTAGCAGTTAGAAAGTCTCTCTACACAAATTATGCCAAGTTAGACAACGCAACACGAACCGTTCAGAGATTTACCCATGACGTGAATCGAATTCGTGACTTCTTGAAAGACAGGTGACGCCTTTACTACTAGGCCAACCATCTTGGTGGTAACTTTGTTCCATTTTTTTTACCAGCTAGAGGTACGCTATATACTTCTCTCGTCCATTAAAACATTTGTTAAGAGAGCATGATATAGTTTTCTCATAGAATACACGTTTTCAATTTTCAAACTGCATAAATAATTATTTTTATTATTTTAATTTTTTCATTTACTGTTCCGAATACACTCGTTAATCAAACTTTTGAGAATAGATAACATCTTTTAGTTCAACCACACACGTGGCAATATGGCATGTATGTGCTTGAAATCAGAATTCACATGGCAGAGAGAGATCCCACCATGTGGACAAGTCTGTGCAAACTCTTGCCCATGCGTGTTTCACACTCGGATTGGATTCAAGTTACAATCAACGTGGAACATGGAGACAAAGTATACCAAAAATGTATATAAATAGAAGAGCCACAAACCAATTCAAATGCAAGCCAACTAGAGAGAGAGAGAGAGAGAGAGAGAGAGAGAGAGAGAGAGAGAGAGAGAGAGAGAGAGAGAGAGAGAGAGAGAGAGATGGAAGTCATGAAGTCATGCAAGTACTGCACATGATTGGAGGGATGGGAGAAACAAGTTATGCAAACAACTCATTGCTTCAGGTACATATCTCACTGTCCTATTGTCGGCACATATCATCTTGGATTCATTTGCATTTAAAGATTGATTACGCACTCTTTTGTGATTATGTATCACAATATGATTTCTTCATTTTATATCAAACTAGGGTTCTTTTTGTTTACCAAGATTTTAAGTTCTATACGCAAAAGACGCCATTTTACCATGCCCTTCAGGACAATGAAACTAATCGTTTTGAGCATTTGAATTATGACCCCAATTCGTAAATATAATTTTAATCAATATGATTTCTCTTAAAGAATGTACACTAAAGGGTATATTAAAATACTAAGGCTTCATTTGTTTCATGGAAAATAAATGATTTGGAAAATATTTTCTTAAAAACAATCAATTGAGACATAATTTTTTGTTGACTAATTATTTCATTTGATACAAGCGATAGTTTTTAGGAAAATATTTTTCAAATCATCAATTTTCCGCGATATAAAGGTAACCTAGATCTTGAAAGATCATTGCAACCTCGGACAAACGCAATCCCAAGATATTCTAATTGGATTAACGTAGAAAATGCGTGGAATCTGCAATACTTAATCGTTCTATATGAATTGCCCGCATATTCAATCAATAATATGTCATTGGATATATTTGTCAATATAAGCAATACATAATAATTATGATATATATATATTTTTGTATTGGAAATACCAAAGACACGAGCCTTTTTCCTTGATATTGAGTCAATGCTTTCTTCTTTTCTTTTTGTAGAGAAAGGTGATATTGATGACGAAGCCCATAATGGAGGCAGCCGTCACAGCTCTCTTCTCGACCGCCGCCACCACCTTCCCGACGAGCCTTGCCATCGCGGACTTGGGCTGTTCCACTGGCCCCAACACTCTCTTCGCTGTGTCCGAGATCATCAGCATCATGATCAATCTCTGCAAGGCAACGAAGCATGAACTGCCGGAGTTCCAAGTGTTCTTGAACGATCTCCCGGGGAACGACTTCAACACCATCTTCAGCAGCTTCTTGCCGAGATTCCAAGAGAAGCTGAGCGAGCAAATGAAGAGCCAGAACGGAGTGTCGACAACACTGCCATGCTTCTTCAGTGGCGTTCCTGGTTCTTTCTATGGGAGATTGTTCCCCCGGGAGAGCTTGCACTTGATTCATTCTTCATACAGCCTCATGTGGCTGTCTCAGGTAATTTTTTGACCCGTTGGTTCATTTGTTAACTTGGTGGGAAACAAACTCGCTCTCTCTCTCACTCTGTTTTTCTTGCAGGTGCCACGAGGCCTAGAGGGAAACAGAGGCAACATATACATGGCGAGATCGAGCCCTCCGAAGGTGCTTAGGGCATACTACGAGCAATTCCAGAGGGACTTCTTGACGTTCTTGGAGTGTCGTGGGCAAGAGTTGGTGGTGGGAGGGCGTATGGTTTTGACCCTCCTGGGTCGAAGAAGCGACGATCCTTCGAGCAAAGAGTGTTGCTACATTTGGGAGCTCTTAGCTATTGCTCTCAATGAAATGGTCTCCGAGGTAACCAAAAAACAATCTAAAGAGTATTTAAATAGTCGCGTACACAATAGGTGAAAGTCTAGGTTGACATCAAATTTTCTTGTGAACCTCTGGGTAGAATTTCAAATGAATTCTTTGAACGAAAACAGGAGTGCAATTTGGAAAACCCATTAATCCGATTTCTCCTTTTCTGGAAAATCAGAGTACAGGAGATAAAATTTATCAGGTGGTTCGAGTACACCCTCATTCCCTCTTCAGTATGGCTTAAACCCAATTTAAGTGAAAACCATATTTACACGAGGGGAATCCCATATAAGAGCAGTATGCAATAGACACATACCCAATTACATAAACAAGCAACTATGACTATTATGAAGATATTATACTAACAGCTTATGATTTTACAACTGTTTCTTATTTTCGGTGGCAAAATCTAAAATTTTGCCTTTGGCGCTAATGCAGGGACTCATAGAAGAAGAGAAACTGGACTCCTTCAACATCCCTCAGTATACACCCTCACCAAAAGAAGTACGAAGGGAGGTCCAAAAGCATGGCTCATTCTCAATTGATTGCTTGGAGGTGTCCGAAGTGAATTGGAGTGTATTTGACTCTGATTTTGACCCAAATGTTGTGTCAGAGGATGGGGGATACAGTATGGCCAGGTGCATGAGAGCCGTGGCCGAGCCATTACTCGTTGATCACTTTGGCGAGGAGATCATAGATGAGGTCTTCAAGAGGTATAGGGCTCAACTCGCTGATCGCATGTCCAAGGAAAAGACCGCATTTGTCAATGTCGTCATCTCGCTAAAGAAGATCGCCTAGATAAATCGCATAAATTCCAGAATGAACACATTACATCTATATGCACGTTTATGGAGAAGGTGATATATGAATGTCACAAGTGTGCTTAATATAGTTTGAAGAAGGTGTGGCTGTTTCACTTGTATTACTTCTTATGTCTTATCACGTGTAAACAAAATGCCAGAAACTTGCTGCAAGTTGAAGGGCTTGACATTTGGGATTTTGTTGTAAGGATTTTTCTTTCGTATATCCACCATAATGCCTTGGTTTAATTAAGCGAATTAGGTGCTTTAATTTTAGGGTTAATACTGCAAAAAACCCCAAACTGGTATATCTGTGACAAATTTACCCTAAACTAATTTTTTGACTACAAAAAACTCCAAACTGGTACATTTGTGACAAATTTACCTTGTGTTAGTTCTGTTAAATTTTACTGTTAAATTGTTGAGTTTAATGATACGTGGCAGTTGACGGGTGTACCAGTTTAGGTTTTTATCCCTCCGTTTGTCACATGTTTACCAATTTGTGATTTTTTGTGGTATTAATCCAATTTAATGGAGGGTAAATTTGTTACAAGTGTACCAATTTGGGGTTTTAAGTGGTTAAAAAATTAGTTTGGGACAAATTTGTCACAGGTGTACGAATTTGTGATTTTTGGTTGTCAAAAAATTAGTTCAGGGTAAATTTGTCACATGTATACTAATTTGAGGCTTTTTATGGTATTAATCTATAATTTTATTTTGCTAGGAAAATAAAACAAGAAAGCTAAATGAAGTACAATTCCTATCTAGAGAAATTTGCATGAGTAAAAACGAATAAATCAAAATTGAAATTAGAAACTCAACAATAAGAGTTTCACTATAATGTCAACAAAATGGGAGAATTACCAAAAAAGTGTTAAATTTATTGCACTTATAGCAATTCAGTTCTAAATCTTTTAATTGTGCCAATTGAGTCTTAAACAATTTCAGATTTTGCTAATAGAGTCTCTCCGATCAATTTTGGTCAGGAATCGCCAATGTGAATGCCAGCTATTCTACGTGGTATAGCCAGCACTGATGTTGACATTTTTTTAATTATATTTTAATATTTTAATAATTTTTTTCCTTTCCTTTCCTTTGCTTTACTTTTTTTTTCTTGGACTTAGGGCCAGTGAGGGCCTGGACGCCCTCGTCGGCACTAGGTGAGGGCATCGCCGCCCCTCGCCCAGATCTAGCCAGGTGAGGGTTATGTAGCCCTCACTAGCCCTAAGTCTAGGAAAAAAAAAGAAAAAGTAAAGAAAAATAAAAAGTATAAAAAAAATCAAAAATTATTAAAATATGTCCACATTAGTGCTGACGATGCCACGTAGGACAGTTGGCATCCACATCAGCGATTTTGGGCCAAAATTGACCGCATGGACTTAATTGGCAAAACGTGAAATAGTTTAACTCTTAATTGACACAATTAAAAGGTTTAAAACTAAATTGGTACAAGTGCAATATGTTTAGGACTTTTTTGATGATTCTCCATCAATGAAACATTTGAAAGGTTTTACTCCAACATATGGAGGTTATATTATTAAATGATTTTGGAAAAGAAAACTAATTTTAAAGGTACATACAGTGTTTTATAGTTGGCCAAGGTCTTTTATAATCTCTCGAACAAACATTCCCTTATCATAACTCGTCCTAAAGACACATACTTTGTTATATGATATTTCTGCAAGAGATATCGTGACATCCATATAAAATTTAAGAGGAGTGATTTTTATAGTAAATAGGTTCATTTATAAATGAGTGCAAAAACGTTATGAATCATACAAAAAGAAAACCTTGTCACCTATACCGACTATAAGTAGAGTCTTTGCTGAGTTCCTACAAGAAAACAATTAGCAAATTTTCCTTTTGGGCTTTCTTTACCCCCACACTTGGAATTTTTAGTTTCCAAAGAAACTCAAAAGTGGGTTGTGGGCTTGACCTTTTGGGTCCTCATTCTGGAAATAAAACTCAGTCTATTTCGTAAGTCACTCACAAGTAAAATTTGGGAATTTCAGTATCTTAACTATTATCGTTACAATCTAATACGTAAATCCAATTTGTTTTGTAAGTATATGAATTTAAGATGCATAGTTTCTGGAACTACTAAAAGTATCGTTTATTAAATGGAGAGTAATTACTAGATTAAGAATGATGTACTACTCACCCTAAACTTTTAACAGGACTGTTTTGCACTATTGAAAGCAAAGTGATGTCCCTTCGTGACTTTAATTGTAAAGCGATTATGACTTTGTTCGCTTATGTTTAAATAAGAATATTATAATAATTAAATAATAAACTACGCTTTCATCTAACAGCTTAAGTTTTTAGATGAAGACCTTCCTTTAACAAACAAAGATGGTAGGGATAGGCAACCAACACTAACAAGCCCCATTGAACCTTACCATAAGGGTCATACTCTTGCCATTGAATGTTCGATTTGAGCTAAAACTACTCAATACCACCCACGATATATTGAGAATTAAAGTTGGGGAGCCTTGTCACTGTAACCCACCAAAACGCTAGAAGTCATGAAATCTCATAACCTCATCAAAGATACAAATTATCCCATAACTAAGCAACACAACACGAGCAGTTTAGACGCTTACGACGTGAATCGAACTCATGACCTCATGAAAGATAAGTGACCCATTTATCATTAGGCAAATGTTGAATTTTTCATGATAAAGGAGGCGATGAGTCTAAACCTAACGTTAGTAGGACTCCTTTCTTGCTTGACTAGGAGGCAATCAAACTTCACCACAAACTTTAAGGTAGATAAATTTCTCTGATATTTTCTTGGCATTTACATTTTCTTTCCTTCATTTGGAATGAATCAGTATTCACAAGGCAGTGGGAAATCCCACAAAGTGGATAAGTTCGTGCAAACTCATGCCCATGCGTGTTAGGTACTCGAATTGGGCTCAAATTACGATTAATGTGGAACATGGAGACAAATTACCCCAAAGATGTCTATAAAGAGAGAGAGAGATGGAATGCACCAAAGTTATTGTACATGAATGGAGGAAAGGGAGAAACAAGTTCTTTGTTAAAATTGTCCAACAAGTCTTAAAGTTATTGCATATTTGCCAATTCAGTTCTAAACCTTTCAATTTTTCCAATTCAATACTAAACCTTTTGCATTTGTGCCAATTCATTTCATCCAGCCAATTTTGCCTAGTTGGCACTGACGTGGACGCCGGCCGTCTGGCCAATGCTGACGTGACAGTTTTTAATATTTTTTTTATTTTTGATTTATTTTTCTTTTTAGGAAGGGACCTTTGCCACATATACTAAGTCGTGTTTGATGGACCCATCCATCAAAAGTCATCATGGAATTGGGCCTTCACCGACCCGTCTAGCCACATCGATACTGAAGCATGCAAGATCTCCAATTAAATTTGGTCATGCAATAATTATGAATTTTCATGCATCGTCTCATATTTTGTAAGTTCAACGACCCGTGTTTCATAAAATATACAGGTCGTACTGTATGTAGAATGATTTCGCAATGATCGACATCTTAGATATAGAAAATTTGTAAGAACACTTTGGGAGTCGGCCAAAGGGTACCGTAACAGTAACCTCTGTAAATTATGAAATACCATTAGCTCAGTTATCTTTTTTAATGAGTCAACCATGGGAGGCCAACAATTACTACTAGACAAGTAGACATAATGAAGCAAGTTTATACTTTTCACAACACTTGAGAGTGTGTATAAGTATGTTCTTGTGACAAGCTCATCAAGTTCAACGTACTTGATCTAAATCATTATCAATTTGCTAATTATAAAAGTGAAAACCAATAATTGATACCTCGTCTGGACCCAAACTTCAACAGAGAAAACAATGCGCCAACAACTCACTATTTCGCCGCTTTTTTCTTGTTTTCACACCAGGTAAAGTCATGACTAACAATCTCGAGTCGAATAATGTAGACAATAAAGTTTTGTGCATGAAAATTGATGTATTATTAATATGACACGCTTGACGTAGATTGGCAGAACGGTCGAGAGCTGATTTGGAACGCAGCAAATTTTGTACGCAAATGATAGCATTCCCGTTCAAAATAACTTTGGTGGCCATGTCCGACACTGTACACGCATATTATTCAATTGACCTAGCCTTGGTCATGAATCTCGTTAGGTATATAAAATTCATGCAATATGCATATTAAAAGACTTCGGGTCTGCTTTCAACGATGGATGCCGATCGTCAGACAACAAATCCCACGTTAAACCTTGTACAGAAAACGATGAAATCGTCAGTCGACGAATCCCACGTTAAACTTACAAAGAAAACGATGGACTGACGCATACCATCCTATTCCAACTGCTCCTTGTGAAGCTGGCTCTGTAGGACCTGTTCTTTTGTTCCTCTCTTATTGCTATATTTTGTCTGCCACTTGATGATTGTTCTTACATGGGCAATGCGTACGTGATAGGCAACTTGATAGACGCACGCCATGAGATAGGACGTAAGTAATAATTTGACATTTATTTTAGCATCCATTTATCATATTAGTCAACGTGCGAGTCTTTTCTTATTGACTAGCAAAGGTGAGCACCACCTGAACGGGCGAAGCTGACGAAAGAACGCATGGAAATCCTCGGTTTAGATTTAGACGGTGCTGTTTGGATATGTTCATTTTGTTTTCGTTTATATATAACAAAATGGTTTAACTTGTTTCTAATTCAATTAAACGTTATTAATTAATAAGAAAACAGTGTTTGGTTATGCCTAATTAATATAGACGTAACCAAGTGGCCTCTAACTCCTAAGTGTTAAAGAATTTGATGCGGCAGATTCATTGCTCAAATTATAACATCTCCTACTTGTAGTAACTTAGGGGCCACACCTACCATCCTGTAGATAGAGTTTCATCCGAAACGCATGAACCAGGCAATTTAATGCATCTGTGTGGTTAGACAATCCAAAGAAGTTTGGAAAACCTGTGTGATATATGTGTCGAGTTTGAGCTTGAAAAAGAAAGTTTTCCGAATTCAAGTTGATTTCCTAGTTGGAGTAGGTTTCCTAAAATGAGGTTTCCTATTTTAGATCATGCTCTTGCATATATGTAAGAAGTAGATGCTCTTTGTGAAGAGTTTCCAAAAGGCGACTTCTTGTGAATTACATCTCAAAGCAATTCAATTATTAAAGCCAAATAAATCATGTAGTAAGATTTGTGAATTCTTTTGTGAGA